TCTTCATATATTTTACAACTCTACTGCCAAACCATTTCTACTGACTACTTTTACCTTCCTCCCCTTTTGTTCACCACTTTGATGGTGTAAGAACTTTGCTACCCTACAATGTTATTTTTACTAGGTATTTGTCACATGGGAACAGATACATTTACATTTTAAATTCAAACCTTTCACACTACTTTGCATGCAATTTAATAGTAGAATTGCAGGGAAGAACTACTGAAAGATGATGCCAACATCCATTTACTCATCCATTAAAGCCTATCAAATATCAAAAGCCAAGTCAACTGCTGAATTGTATTTCATGTACCTTCACTGCTTGCAGTGTTCCTCACACAGGTTTATTATAAAGCGGTGTTAAATGTGCCCAGCAGGCTAAGCTATCTCTTCTCGCATGACAAGGAGAAGTTCAGTTGCCCAGTGGCAGTACAAAGGTGGAAGATTATCTACAGAACTATGTATGGGGAGGCACCTTAGATCTGGGGGAATGGAATCCCTCCTCCAGGGGGCATTATCTATTTTGAAAACAGCAAGCAGATGTTTATGGAGTTACCAGGCCTTTAACACCAGCTTTGCCCATATGGCAGTTTGATCTACCCTAAATACCTTTATTTGTTCACTTACCCTGCCACCTGCAATCTGTTTCATTTACTTCAGTTTTACAGGAAGCAGCATTCTCCTCCTTCGCCTCATTATCACCAGAGTTACATCATGTTTCATGTCCCATTTCTCACTTTGTTTATCAGAGCTCTTCCCATCTTGTTCAGCTCTGCTATTTGATAGTCCTTCAAACAAAAATTGGTATCATTAGTGTCCAATACTGTTGCTTTTTTATGCAAGTGATGAAGCTCAGCTAGCCATAACCAAACCCTAAAGAACTCAATATAAAAATTTACTTTGACATAGGTGTTACCATTATACACTCATGAATTGTAACACTCCAGATGCCAACGCACATGGACAGACATAGCAATGTAACTTGCTCTAAAGCAATGGTATGTTTTTGACAGCCTCTGCTTTAAAGATAAACTTTTATGGATAACAACAGATATACTTCTCTTTTTATGGTACAAGAATGCAAGTCTGAAGTATTCCCAGGAAATCTAGCAGAATTACTGAGATTTACTTTTGTTTTTCTGACAGCAAATTCATCCCTGAGACTTTGGAAACAACTAGAGTATTCACATGTAGATTTGAAATGACTTCCCTATTTCAGAAAGCCAAGAATGCCCTTATTATTAACTTAATCTTCTCCACTGACTTTTATGTTATTTCTCTGGGCTACTGCGTAGTACCACACTGTGGTAACAAAAGATGATACCTTTTGTCTGGTCTAGTTCTTGGGTCACCTGTATTCAGCCCGTTCAAGAAAGTGAAAGGGCTGCTGCTCAAAGCATACACTGAATATTGAAGCACATAAAGGGGTTTTGGTGACTGCTTCTCAGGACTCAGCAGTAAAAAGCTTTGTGCACCCAGCTTTTAAGATAGACTTGGAGAGAATTAAAGAAAAGCAGGGCAGTATAATCTACACAAACCCCTATGCTGCCAGAGGGTCTAGAAAAGAGGCTGATTCCAGGGAAAAAAAATAGTCCTCCCCAGCACGCTTAGCTAGACCTGCACGACACTTCAGTTCATACTGTAGAAGGAGATAAAGATGGTCAAACTCAATTCAACTGTTGCAAGAATGACATTTTTTACTGTTACCGTGTTTCATTCCAGCATTGGATTTTGTTGTGCCAGGGTGGAAATGCATCCCTCCAAAAGCAGAGTATCCATATGAAGGATAACTGAACCCTAAAGAAAGGAAAGAGATGAAGAATTAGTAGAATTTCACCCTAAAACAATGAAAACAGACTGAAGGTGAACTCTTCCCCATCCTTTCAAAAATCCAAAAAAATTCTAGACGGTTGGCTAGTGACACTCTCTATCCCAACATCCATAAGGCCACACCAAATGTATTATCACTAGTACACTTCATCTGAAACTCAACTAAGACCTCACAAGCTACCTCTACGCTTTTGAATCTCTGTGACTACAACAGATTTGTATTCTGGTGTTATGTTACAGATGTGCTGTTAGCAATGCAGATAACAATTTGAAAACTGGTGCTCTGTCCCCTGCTCTAAAAAAAGGGTTGCAGATGGCATTTGCTCATCTACAGGTTTTTAATGCCCTGCTGCAAGAAACAAAAGCAAGGGTCTTATGATCCTGCATCTCAGGTATGCTCTGGCTTCAAAAGATAAGAGCACAGCAGAAAATTTACTAAATAGCACCTCAAATTTTTTAATAGTTCTTTGAACTAGCAGGGTTAGTTTGCCAAATTCCACTCCTGGTCCCAGAAATAATTAAGAACTGATTTATTTTTAAGCATCCAAGATGGTACTTATCTGAGCTTTCTCATGAATTTTAGCACTTTTGAGGCCCTAGGAAGCAACAAAGCTAAGGTATGATGGATTCCTAACTCAGACTCCCTCAAGTAGAAACATATTATCTGTGACTTAAAGCTTCAAGGAAGAGGGGGAAAAAAAAAACCAGTCACCATGAGCCTTACATTCAAGTAGGAAGGCCAACAGAGCCAAAGAAATATTTTGAAAACAAGGAGACGTTGGACTGAAATGAGTAATGCTGGTACAAAGACAGGAGAGTCAGATCTTATCTACTTAGGAGATTAAATCCTCATCACATTTTAAAAATCAGTATAAACCTCTGTCCTGCTCTCAAAATAGACCCCCTTCCCCTCTCTGTCCAAAACTGCTGCCTTACCAGAGCCAGCACCGCCACCTCCCCCTCCATACATGCCACCGCCTCCCGCGCCGTTGCCTCCACCATAGCCATCAGAGAAATTTGGCATGAGTTTCTGTCGTTTCCTTTGCACTTCTTCTTTATCTGGGTTAGAAGGAATAGATAGGATAAGGAGTGACTCTTACTGGTGGCCACGCACAGAAAACATTACTAAAGTTTGCTAGTTTATAAAGGAAAATGTAGAGTGCCGTAGAAGAGTCAACTCTCTTCTGGCTCCAAACAACAGAACAACTTTGCATGAGAATTCCTGTGAGAATCGAGCTAGCACCAAGTACCCAGCCAGAGCAGCAGTATCGCTCGGGCACCCCTGGTCTCTTCAGATACATCAGGTGCCTTGTGATCAGACTGGGAGGGAAATGTGCAGAGATATCTTAGGGGGCTCAGAGTTTCCTTCAAAAGCATCTCGTGTACTTAGAGCCCTGGAAATCAGTGGTCCTAAAATTCTTCTATGTCTAAGCCAAGTCATAAACCAGCACAAGCACACTGAACCACAAACTTGTTCAAGAAAATTTGCCTTTGGGGAATATAAGCACAGGCTCTTCTACTAAGCAAATCTACTTCAGGAATGGACCTGGATCAAAGGGTCAGCAAATCGCACGGCTCTTTGATCTCCAACAGTGCAGAGTACCTGCAGTGCCCTTTGAACTTTCGTTTAAGGGTAAGGATGGCAAAAAATGGTGAAAACAATGTTTGCTTGAAATGATTCATCTAAAGTATCAGAAAACCCACCAGAATAAAGATAGCTTATTTTCAGGCAGGACGTAATACTGTCAAACCATGCTGAGCAGCAGTAGAAAAAAAGCCTAAGTATTTTATGGTATAAGTATAATACTTAGCCCCCCTGGAAAGCAAAACACAAAGATTTAAAAGAAGTATCCCAGTGACTAGGGAAAGTGAAAATATCATGACCAGAGCTACAAAAATAGGGACACAAACATTACAGGGGTTAAAATCCAGTAGAACTGTTGAGGAAAGAACAAAATACCCTTCCTTAATTAAATGATCTAGTAGTTTCCAACAGCCACATGACAAAAAGAAATTTCATGCACAGGCACATCAGTCAGTGCATCAGATGAGACAGCTGAATGCATGAAACCATATACGGAAAAATACAAGCGCATTATTTCCAGGCATACATGATCTGTAAGTATGTATGCATGCACCAGGCATACTCACACTGATGAGGAGAGAAAACTCTAGAGAGCAATCTAGTCAGAGAAACAAACAAAAAATCCACATACACATATCTAAGTTTGTGTGAACACTTGCAACAAGGCAAAAACACAGTCCCTAAATGGTAATTTCATGATTAGGTTGTGTAGGGGATCCAAAAATGCACATAACATTAATTTTACTTCATTAAGAGGCACACAAAAGAGGTTTGCTTCAAATTTGGCAACTTTGCTGTGCGGGTCTACATTTCACTTTCCATAAAACATGTGCAAGAGATTCCCAAAATTGTTACCAATACAAAATCCTCTAGCAACTCTGGAATTTTTTTGTGAACGCATGCTTTCTGCTGCTTTATTATAATAGGCATAAAGTAGGTTCACTTGGACATCAACCACCACCCCTCTCTCCTCAGCTGTCCTTAGTTCATTGCCCCTGACGCACAGGTATTTTAGAGTTTGACAAGGTATTGATTTTAATGCAGCTCTAAGCTAGGTGCTGAAAACATGCAAGATTAGGACTTAATAGTGTAACCTGCAGGCAGGCAAACTGTTATGCAGAAAGATTATTGTCTTAGTACAATGAAACACCAGTTCTGACTTGGGCCTCAAGGCATTTCCATATCATGAACATTATTGATATTTAAAAACCATGATTGCTGCTGCCATTCCCGACAAACATCTCAAATGTAGACTTTAAAGGTTATAGATCTGCTAGTTAAACTTCTTTTCACTAACAACTTAGGAAGCAGGTCTGATGCCAACTATTTTCTACTTCTGCTAAACAACTAACATTTTAACACAAGAGACTGAAACAGCACTTTCCCTGCTCTCACAAGAACTGTCTTGGGCTTATTTAACTAGTATAGGCAATTGGAAAATTCAAAAACGTCAGTGATATGGTGAGGCATGATGGTAAAAGGAGAGAACTGCAAAATACGTACTTTTTCCACCAGATACCAACCAGTTTAAGGTTTCATCTGAAAGTACTGACAGTAAAATGTCCTCAGATATTATTTTGCAGAAACTCAGAGGAAGAGAGTGCCATCTACTGTATGGACAGGCATGCGGGCATTTAGGAAACATGCAGGGAGTAAGCCTCACTAGGAAAAAGCTCATGGATTTAACAGTCCAACAAAAAAATGACAAACGCATTACAGAGCTACCACTTTCCATATTAGCTCTGCACAAAACAAGAAGGCAAATACCCTATTTTCTAAAAATAACCACTACAAAAAAAAAAATCTCTTCCAAGAAGTCCTATCTTATTAAAAACATTCCTAAGGACCCTGCAGTTTCTGTTTCCAATATATAAAACTGGTTTAATGAATTACCTTTGATTTCCGGATAGTAGAGAAAAGGCTTTGGTTCGCTTGTTTCTAGATCAGATTTCCTACGCAGTTGTACAAATACAGATGCTGGCTTTGTGATATTGACATCTCGATACTTGGGTGTTTTGAACACAATAGCAAACTGTGAAGGAAACAATGATAAGCAACTTTGACAACTTTGCTTTTACAATTTCTATTATTTTGTAGGAGCTGGTTCACAGCTTGGGAGGCAAAAATTCTTAGCAAAATCTGCTACAATAATAGACTTCCATTTTAATTTTCAGTTGCACTTTTGAGTTGGAGTCCTAAAGCCTTTTGTGAAAGGCAGAACTGCCATGCGAAGTATCACCACAACACATATGTTAGTACTGCATTGTTTGTCCACTCATCATTCAGCATCTATTCTGTGGCTTTCTCAGTGTGTTCACAGGACCTCTGAGAGCTTTTTACATACCCTATCCCAATTTACACTGGTCCACGTTAAAGCAATGGGTCCGTCTCCCAATTCCCTTGCACTGTATTCGTAACCTGCCTAATTACCTAATGCAAGTCTTTAAAGAACAGTTAAGATTGTATTATTATTAAGAAGTTAACAACAAAAGAAGAGGTTAGTAGGGGATACAGATGCTTTCACCTAATTTACTAATTGTAATATAATCCTAGTTTACAGAGATGAGAAAAATCATTAACAAATGACAAATGCTCTGTTTCTTACCTGTCTATGTACATCTGTAGGAGAAAAGTCTCCAAAGCCTTCCCACATACCTCCATTCTCATCCTCTTCATAGAAACGTATTTGGATATCATCTGCGAAGAGTGAAAAAAACACTCTTCAGGATGTTTGTGCATTTGTTTAACCTTTGGCAAAATTTATTTCAGATAAAAATCAACATGGTTATGTTTTGGCTGGATGATAATATTACATGAATAATACATGAATTCTCTTTATCCATTTTATTAAATCATCATAAATAACCCATTTTTTACATCAGTTTTAGATCAGCCTAATTCTAATGACTTCACTGAAGTTGCTCTCTATTTACTGAGCAGTAAAAGGAGAACTAGGTTCACTACCTCTTCCTATTCTAGGGCTATAAAACATTCCAGAGGAGCTTTATTTGGAACAAACATGTAGGGAGGGGAGAACTTGAAGTGTGAAACGTAGAAACCACTCTCTCTCCTCTAACAGTTTCAGTTCAAAAAACTGTAGCAAAACCTGAAGTGCCAGGGTTCGAGTTCCGCTTGCTGCTGGCAGAGTGCCACTTTGGAGCTGCAGCTCAGAGAGGCGGCAAGGGTGTGAGCAAGCGGCATGTCAGCAGTGATCCCTCACCCCCAAACACAGCACGGGCCAGAAACATGAGATTTGGCTTCTGCTCCTCTAAACAAATTTTCTTTCATTCTCTTTGTATTTATTTATTTATATTGTTTGGAGAAGCTAGGAAATATCACACTAACATGTTCCTTCCCCAGCTCTCCTGGTGAGAAAAAAATAGAAAAAGCCGATTCTCTCTTAGGGTGACTGACGCAGGACAGACTTTTGGAGCAGACAGACTGCTTCCTCTGATCCACCACCTGCTAGTCTCAAGACTGTGAACCACCACTTCCAGTCCTGCTGTCCTGCATGCTCAAGTTCCTTCAGGCAGGAGATTTCTGAGAGCAATGAGGTCAGGGGAAACCCCGATCCGGCCAAGGGGAAACCCCACCTCAGGGCTTCCACTGAGTCAGACATTTATTTATTTATTTAGCACACAAGAGTTATGTTTCATCTCAGCCCTTCTGATAGCAGAGGATATATACACTACTGACGGAAAAGTTTTTTCAAAGTCCCTAAAAGCCCCCAAAGCCCTCTTCTTTCCTAAGTGGTAGAATAACATTTGCAATAAAGAGAGGTGGAAAAGGACAGCCTGTATTAACAGAAAATGTCAGCATGATTTTATAGACACGTGCAGGGACTGATTCCAAACAGGTGAGAACAGGGTACCCGCTCCACCATGCAGTCTACACCAGGGAGTCCCAGGTATTACTTACAGCTGAAAAATGCAAAGGATTTCCCTCACTCCCATTTTTTTCTTTTTAGTTCATCCCAATACTACAACCAACCACATTAACCATTATCTTCCTATTCAAAACCAAAGCATTCAAATCCACACTGCCCAATCCTGGCACATTCAAAGCCATGAGCAGAACGTACCAAAACGAGTCTGAGAGAAGTATCTATTTACACCGAGTATCTCTTATCATTAGCATATACATAAAAATGAAGTTACTAGCAGCACTGCTGAACACATTCAGTTCCCATCGGTGGTTAGCAAAGAATGCTCATATTTACTCTTTATAATTAGGAACTTAATAATAAATCAGAAACTTCAGAATAATTCAGAGCAGGTGTTGGTAAATGGAGTCAAACAGCACCCAGGACCCACCACCCACAAAAAGCCCAGAATATGGGCAAGGGCAGAAATTTGAGAAGAACAAAGATGATTACATGGTCTCTGCAGAGGCAACACAAACTGAATTTGCCTTGCAACAGACTATTTTGATTTACTCATTTTCTGGACTGCTGGCCTGACTTCCAGAAAGGCTGAGTGCTTACTAATCCTGCTGCGCTATCAGAGCAGGAGAATACTAACGCAGCACAGCAGGCTTCATGGGTACTCCAGATGAACACCCCGGTGTGCCTTACAATAGTCGGGATGCTTACCTTTCTGAACCTTGTCACAGAGGAGGTAAATCTCTTCCCCTCCTGTTACACACCCTGCTGTTCTGTCCATTCTTACAATTTTTAAGTTGGAGGCGTTGGGAGCTTCTATTGAAAGGAAAGATTAAAAAAACCGCTTACTTTCATATCAGTTTTAGATTTCAAAAAAACCCAAACACAGCAGACACAAATGCAGTAGAAAGACAAGCCTCCACTACAACCTACCTAAATTTATCTATGTTTTTTTAAACATGAATAAATCAACAGTTTTTCATCTGAAAGGCATAATCTTGTATTCTCTCAGCTTTGACTGAACTGTGAACTATAAAATAAGGCCCTGGCCATGCCAGCACAATTGATGCACTAGTAAAGTAGCACAGCAGTGAATTGCATCAAGCACTCTGCACTAGTACCAACTTTATGACAAGAGCACATTACAAGAGAACAGAATTTTTTTCTTCCCTGCTTCCTTGACAGCGTGACACTCTTGAGAGCTGTTCCCAGTATCTCACTATTTGCATGCAGTATGCAATGCTTTGCTCTATACTGTGGCTTACTTGAAAGCATTGACAGTCCTTAGCCAACAACAACTGTGATCAAAAAGTCCACCTCCATGGATCTAGTAGAGGCATCAATGGATACCTATCGGTCTTCAATACAGAACTATCATCTGATAAGTAAAAGCAGCTGTGATAGACAGTTATGCTACCACAAGCTGTGTCTGTTCTGTGGAAGAGGCTTGAACGGTGCCAATGAGGCATTAGGTATTAGAGAAAAACAAAACCCGAGAAATATCTTTTGGAACTAAAACCCAAGAAATAACTTTTGGAACTAACAACCAAGAATTCACCTTGAGAGCTCAGAAACTAGTAACTGACATCTATGTAGCCACTTAAAACAGCAGAAATGTGCATACAAAATTTCCCCTCTATTCATCTCCTTAGTTGGAGTCAAGATTTTGATGGTCAGATTCCAAGGGATAGGATGACTTTGTTTTATATGTATCGCTTGATACATGCTCTACCTCTGTTGATGCTTTGCCCTCCTCCTCCTCTTTGCTTTAAAAATACTCTCTATTGTTACGCAGGTGTGAGACAGAGTAATGAAAACAAATGGAATCTGTAATTGTTTCTTATGAAAATCAAGATTCCTTAAAGACATTGCTTGGTAAATCACCTCAGCCTCCACATGAAAAGTCTGTGTTTTCTCATTCAGAAAACACAGGTCATGTGTGCCGTAAGAACAGCTGACATCAAGTTTTTTTCACTCAGTGAATATACGCAAAATGGCTGTGCTACATCACTACATTTCCCCAATTAATAGCAAGCAGCAGACTATATTAGAACAGTTGCATTTAATACTTTTTCTTCTAGACTTTGTCCTTAAAAAGTGATGATATAGACATGACTGTTGCACAAAGAAAAAAAAATGGTCTGAGTCATGACAGAATGACTATGAGAAACATGGTAATCCACAGCTAAGGGGGGAAAACTCAGGCAGCAGAAAGGGTTCAGGTAAGATGAGTAAGTAGAAGCCAAAAGCACAAGGGAAAACATGAAGTGAAAAAGATTCAGTTAGAAAAAAGACAAGTAGAGGGATGAAACAGAAGTATAAAAAATACTGACAGGTCTGAAGGAAATGGATTGAGAACTCTGGTTGCGTTAAACTCACAAAAAAAGGACTAGCAGATGGCCAGCAAAACTGAAAGGTGTCATATTCTCAACAAGACTGAAGCAAAGTAATTTTTTTCCTCATATCTTGCATGACAAGGCTTTGTGGTAGAAAGCAACTGGAAACTTTGCAAAATTCAAGCACTTCTTATGAATATAACAAGAATTTACAAAATCCTCATAATCAAAATGGCAGGATTAAACATGCCAACAGCAAAATAAAATCTTCCTTTATGGCTTACATCACCATCTATTAAAAACCAGAATGATACCATGTGTACTTGGACAGATATGGGGCCAATTATCTATGGGCTACTTACTTGTTACTGATCAAATAACAGGCAAGCAGCAGGGCTAGCTGGGTCTATGTATGGCAATATCTACATATCATTTTTGTATGTACAAAAGCTTGCCCCTTATTAGAAAAGTAATTAAAGCCAAATATACTTACTGCTGTCATATATTGCATCTGATATAACAGGATCAAGTTTCCGTGTGAAACTACCATTACTGTCAGGGAGAAAGGCTGTAAACATAAGACGCACCACACTGAGATCCATTTCTTTAGTCTGCTGTACTGCTGCCTGACGAATAATTTCTCTTTCTCGTTCTAGAATCAGTAAGTAGACAGATGAATTAACACAATAATAAAACAGAGATAGCATTTTTCAAAAATTACTATCAAAAGGCACCAATATCAAGGAAAAGTTTCCCTTTTCATTTAGTATCCATTGGCTTCTCTCTTTTTAATCAGAGCGGAGCAGCTAGTCACAATATACTGCATTCATCTTGTAGTTTGTGCATCAGATTTTATTTAAGATAAGGTATGTAACTAAGAGAAATACAGAAAATTACTATTTTCTGCTCTCAATTTATAAAGGTTGTGAAAAGGACAAAGGCCACCGCTAAGACATTTCAATGCCTCTATACAGTGCCTGAAAGCAACATGGACCACAGGTTTTACAGGGATATGGGTGAAATGCAGCTGAATGAAACAGGTAATCTCAAAAGAAGGTCCCCAAGTTACTTAAGGATATCATGTCTTGCAGCAATAATGCAAAATGACTCTATTTATCTATATATCTATTATCAATGAAATATAGGTGCAGAGGTGGGTACAGGCAGCTATGGAAGGATGTCGCTCCATTCTCATGCGTGTGTTGACAGCAAAGACTTTCTTTCAGATTTCTTACAACATGGTAACAACACACCACCTCTTAAAGCACACAGCCACAAGCTGTTTTCCTACCCAAGGCCTTTTTCTGACCAAGAACCTGTGTTTTCAGAAGCTAAACCTGTTTTTAGTAAAACACCTATTAAAACCGGGCCATCATTTCTACATACCAGTTAGCTGTCTGTCTCCACATCCTTCTGCCTGCAGATAGCCAAGTTCAGGATGCACCAGGAGTCCCGGGTTGTATCCTTTTTTGCAAGCATCGATCATGCGTGTTTCCAGAGTTTCAAACACTTTCTTCTTTGTGACATGAAGTATTCCAAGATTTGCAAACCTGCCGAATTTTTAACAAGGGAAGTATTTTCTTAATGCTTTATGCTAAACCTGCAGCAGGCAGTCTCTCTCTTACCAGAGGCAGCTACACAACTGAAGTTGATGGGAAGACTCTGTAGGTTTACTCAAGCACTATTAATTCTTGAGGGCAAATTTGCCAGCACGAAAAATTCAGCCAAGCTTACAAAACACATAAAACGTGCACCACCGTATGGCAGCAATCGTATGGGTGCACGGGATTTTCCCGTGCCGTAAGCAGTAATCTATTAGGTTTCAGACTTGCACTGTAGAAGCTACTTACAAAACATTTGAAATTTGATTGTCACACTTTGTTTGCTCTGTCTTGGCAATAACATTAGTATGTCATCCTATATGGCTGTTATGCAGAGCAACTGCTCAGAATAAGCTCCATCCATTCAAAATGGTTTGGAGAGCAAGCCAAGCAGCTAACAAGAGCACAACATTTTCCAAAGGAAATGTTTTAAGCAAGGTTTTGGACATTCAGCAAGACACCTCAGGTATCTATTTGACTAAAAACTTCCATAATACAAAATCTGCTTTTGTAAAAATCTCCTGGCACATTTAAAAATCAATTATATCTGGAAGTACGAAAACAAGACAATAACTCAATTTTCATGTGGGTCAATTGAGGATAGGAAAGCTGTTTCTAAACATCTGATGAAAAACAAGACAGGTTAGGAAATGAGCCAAACTTTTCAAGATGAAAAGGAGCATTTCAAATAAAGCTATTTAAATTGTTCTGCTTGGTAGAGTTAGTGCACTGGGCTTGGACATCAAAAGTTACAGTTTAAAAGAATCTCTCTCTCCCAACCTTCTCAGCTTTTTAAACTTCATCTTCTTCACCAACAAAGACATTCTTGAGATCACAGAACTAAAACTCACAGCCAGCATGAAACCTGATCTAAGCCTGAAAACGTAGACAGGAGCCTCACTCCATTTACTGATATAAACAATTATTCTTTCAAATTAAACAAGAACAGACCAACTACAATTTCACTATAGCCTTACTGCTTTAAACTTAAAAAGTTTGACTCATTTAATATTTTCATGTTTATACGTGTCTTGAACTAATTTGAAATTTACTAACCCTATTTTCTTAACGCTTTTCTCTTCAGAATATTCCAATTGGCAGATTTCAGCAAAAGTAAAATATCGATCAAAATGGTAACAGTAGCTTTTCTTCAGTAATTTTACAGTCCCTTCTCTTTGACCAAAAGTACCTACATTTTAAAGAACGGGCTTACAATACAAATTTGGACTGCAAACCAAGAGACTGAAACTCTACAAATTCCAAGTGAAAATTACGTGCTTAAGCCTATTTAGCTTGCTTAGGGCAAATTCTACAAAGGTAAACAGAAACCCCACTTTTTTTTTTTCTATTTAAGGTACAAACAAAACAGATCAGAGGGGGAAGACTAGTGCTCCACTTAGCTGCCTCTTAGCAGTATGTTTGTACTGCTTCTAACAGCATTTATACTCCCTCAGTCCAGCTTTACAAATGAGTTGACAGACTTACCCTACAACCATATCTTTAGGTCCTGCATTAACCGTGCATACTCCATCTTCACAAAATTTACCCACCAAGCTGTGAGCATGTAAGTGGACATATTTCCCATTAGTAACTAACTGGACGATTACTTTTGCAGGTCCAACGTAATTGCAGATCTGTAAATAAAGAAACATGGGGTTGTTTGGGTTTTATTAATGGAGCAAGTAATGATTCCAGGCGAGTATTTTCTGTCAGCTAAGTACAGTCAAGCTTACATAGGAGAAATGTGTATGCATTTTCTCATGAAATACAAATGACAAACTAACTGCACCAGTTTGTCACAAAGAAAAGCCAACACTTTTTCTGTAATTAAACTTGACATACAAATGGCAGGAGTAGTGGCTAAAAAAATTAAGAAATAAGAATAAGGAAAGCAACGTTCTGTTTCCCAAACCATGAATGTCAGTTTTACATTCTGGCCAGTTACTCCACATTGCTCTCCTTAAATTTAAATTAGTACATTAGTACAGTGAATTCACAATAAATACTGTTACATGTCAAGAAGCATACAGAAAATGTACATATTTAACAAAAAAACCTGCATTATTTTGCCCAATTTGAAAACACTTAAAAAATTCTTTTTAAATATTACAATTGTTTTAAAACTTTTTAACCTCATTACAATGACTCTTCAGGTAGAGATTTTAAAGTGAATTAATTTTATGTTCATAGGTATTTTTTTAGTTCAATATGATACATCAACACACATTACCCAGTCCAGTAAATATTTCCCTTAAGCGTACATGAGGATATATGCTAAATCCCCAGCTAAGATTTTGCCGGATTGGAACTACGATAAACTGGGTGCCTTAGTATAGCCAGCTCTGGAGGACTACAAAGCTTTTTTTCCCTGTTGCAGTTTCTAATCACCATACATTTTTAATAGCTTTTAGAATTGTGATGCCAAGTAATGCCTCAAAAACAAACCTGAAATTACTAATAACATACTGTATCGATAAATTATTTGTTTCACATCTATTTATTCAGAACTTTATTTTCTTTCCTTACAAGTAATACTCTTCAATTACTGGTTACGCACCACTTTAAAATGATGCTGAACATAAAATTATCCCACTTTTAAAAAAGCAAACATTACCTTCCCTTCCAGTTCACTTAATTAACCCTTTTATCGAGGTTGAAGTTTCTTTCTCTCCTCCTCTAATTTTTCTTCTAATTTGCCTTCAGCAAAGTTCTTTGTATTACAGCAGCTTATAGATCTAATCAAGCAAGGTATTAAAGGATCACGATAAACATTAAAGTGATGAATCAGTGATGAACTGAATACTTAAGGTTACACCGTTGATAAAATGCTGATAACCAGGGATTGCCAGGATTTCACCACATTACTAAGTCCTGCTAGCTTCCTTCACTCCAGTTAACCCCTCTCTTGAACCCATTCCATCACAGCTGAAACACTCTGCATCTGTAAAACACTTGCCCTCCCCGTCTTCCTATTTACTGCTCAAAGCAGAAAAAATTCCAACCGTGAAAAAGCTGTTCCAGGAGGAACAGGTGTGCAAAAGTCCTCTCATTACTCACTGCCTGCTAGTTAACTGTGAAATACCGTATTAATGTGCATGTTACAAGCAGCAGTTTCTAAAACGCAAAACGTGGGGTACTCATGCTTCCTCCTGTTTCCAAACTGTAATCCCTCCTGGACTGAAACAATACAGAGATGCAGAATAACCACTGCTTCACCATTTCCACCATTTACCAGCAGTAAGAAAATGCAGAGATCCCTACGTAACTTTCACAAAATCACCTGAAAATAAAAATGGTGCTACATGTCACCACCACTACTACAATTAACTTTTCAAGCGGGGGGCTTTTTAAAAATTATTGTCATTTTATCCCTCACTAAACAAGCCTTTCCCTGCTATACATTTCCAGCACATCTATAGCATTATATTCATTATGAGTAACTTGCATGTTCTAGTTATACATCAGAAAAGTTCAAGAAAATCCTTCATCAGCTGTAGAAACCACAGTGAAACTGTAGGTAGGACTGCTGCACGTCAAGGACTTTCCAGCCTCTGAAAGCAGAACATACAACTGCAGCGGTAACCAGATTGCAATCTCCCCCTGTTACTCAGCTCAGCATGATCTTTGTAGTCTCTCTCGGGGGAAAAACAAGAGAGTTTTTAAAACGTAATACCTTATGTAGGTCATAAGGCAAGAAAGGACTATTTTTGTCATCCAGTCTGATGTCCCATGCTGCAAAGGCTACAGAATGTCCCTGAACTGTTTCCTACCTGTATTTCTTATAGACAGACTTTCCCACTTGATTCTGAGACATCCAAGTTACCTTGGTGCCCAGCAAAACAGCCTCAGTGGTTAAATATCCTTGTATATGATAAATTAAGTCTGAAATAATTTTTTAGTCTTTGAATCATTGATGCCACAATTTCAGAATAACTTAAGATTCATTCTCGCACTCATATACAAATAACTATCACCTTTTATGTAAGAACTTAAGAAACACTGGCAAAGGCATTAAAAGGTAGACGGTGTATTACAATACTGAATATCTATAGAAACCTAAGGACTATGGTGTTGACACAAAAACATATACTCAACGTGAGAGGGAGATAGCACGTGGGTGCTGTACTGCCCAAAATCGGAGCTGTGATCTCAAAAAACAGCTACTGAACTTCAAATTAAAGATAGGGGAGAAAAAAGAAAATAAGGAGTTCCTGGGAAGAGCATAGCTGTAATACTTGATTACATCCTGTACTGAAGCAGCATTCAATTGATCTAATCTGATAAAGCTAAAATGCTGCCGGCTCACATTTATCTGTTTGTTTGAGAGATTTGTCTGAGAGATTAAAAGGACCCTGTGAACTTGAAATTGAGTCAGTTTCAAAACAAGAGTTGAAAGTTTTTTCAGTTATTTCACATCCTTCTGCAATCCAGACCCCAGCCAATTTTTTAGTTTCTGAAACTTTACAAAAACTTTATAAGAACGTTTTCCTACTTCAAAGATGTTTTTTCCAGTTACTCTTACAAGCAAGAAGTGAAACCAACTGGTCAACAACAGAAAGCAAATGACGGAAAAGACCATGTCAAACCTACAGAGCTGGCAACTACCAAAGTGCCTGTTTCTCTTTCTAATGACTTTGTTATAGCAACTGTAACCCAGATCCTGCCTAAGTTTCAGTGTGTGGCTACTGCTGTCCTCAACATGTGCATACAAAAAATTCCACAGATGAGGCATTGCTCACTCTTTATAAACAGTGTGTTTTCACAGAGCAGCATCATTTCTTTTTTCAGTTGCTAGTTTAAGACAAAAATATTCAGATGTGGTAAGAATCGTTTAGGCAACTGAATAGTTACTTAGAGGTCTAAGAATAAGCAATGTAAAGCAACTTAAACCAACGGTGTCCTCTGAATGTAAGGTTACTCTCATACCAAAAATACAGAGTTAGGTGCTCTGCTTTAGGAGCCCAACTAAAGGGACTCAGTGCCCCATATTCAGCCAAATTAACTGTAGCAGTAAAAAGGACAAATCTCACTGAATTTGGCTTCGGATAAATTTGGTTTGGTACAGGTTTTTAAGAAGGGTGAAGATTTATAACAAAAGATCTGCTCAATCTTGCCTCATGTTTATTCCTTAATTCAACTGTTAAATGAATTCTTAACTTATAAGCAGCGATCTATCACTCTACAATTTAATTCCCACAGGGGGGGAAAAGCAAATATGCTGCTCCTTTCTTCACCAAGAAGGCTTGTCAACAAAATAACTTTCCTCATTTTCCATAAATGTCCCCCCTGAACTTGCTGTATGTACCGAAATCCCCGATTTCAATAAGAACGCTTATCTCCACATTGAGGTATAGCCCCAGGACATGACTGGATGGGCAGTTCTCCTGCTCGGGTACTTGGGTTCAGGAGGCTGCCTAACTGATGTGCAGTTTCAGTTCCCAAGCTGAACTGCACAATGTCCAAACTCATCGGCAGAGAAATGGTGCTCATTAGCTTGGGCACATATTTAGGATAGCCCCAGGACATGACTGGATGGGCAGTTCTCCTGCTCGGGTACTTGGGTTCAGGAGGCTGCCTAACTGATGTGCAGTTTCAGTTCCCAAGCTGAACTGCACAATGTCCAAACTCATCGGCAGAGAAATGGTGCTCATTAGCTTGGGCACATCCCTGAGCAATGGGTTACTCAGCCTCTGGGCAGGAGCTGATTTACATCCAGCTCACAGAGAATAGGCAACTTGAGTTTGCAGCCACCCATGTAGGTTTGCCCCCAAGGAGATGAAAATTCAGGACATTTCCTTCACACTGCTATTTTCAGCAAATTCTTTTCACACCCAAAACTGGATCAAGTACTTCAGCGTAAAATATCAACATGTTTACACTAACATCAGTACACAAGATCAGGACACATGGTAAATGTGTAAGGCAGCCAGTGGAAATTTTCTGCGCAAGTTTTCTCACAGTTTTTCAAATACATAAAACCAAACAAATAATGAATAAAAAATTAGATAGTGAAGTAAGTTGGTGACAGTAATAGACATTTGAGTTTTATTCTTTCTTCTCATACTATCAACTGCTTTTTACTCTGGACAAAAAGCTAAAGATGAATAAGCAGCTCAGGACCTTTGATTTCAACTGTTCTAGATAGTCAAATTTTCCAGTGTTGTGTTACTTACGCTAAGCAGGCGAAAATGAAATTTAAATGAAGAATTTTAGGTAGCTTTCTACTGTAATCATGAAACTTGTAATGAAATGTAACTTCATTATAACATATTCAGTATCTACAACTTCTCTCCTCTCCAGAACTACATGCAAGGTTATATAAAATCCTCTGAAAATGTAAGGTGTTTTGTACATGATATTAGGCTGCAAAGACAGGGTTAAACAAAGGAATGTAATTCCATAAACCATAAAGACTAATTAATCCCATTTTTTATATGCTAGAAAAATACGACTATTATCTAGACTCCATTTGTCATGATTATGCTGTTAAAACAAGTGGTTTTAAATCAATTCCACCTGACTGGCCAGTGCAGATTTGTCTTAAGTGTAACGAACTGCTACACTAACTCCTGACCTACACCATCTCCTAATATACTATACAGGAGGTGGTTAAATATGTAATTAACTACCGAAACATCTTGTTAGAGACATAGCAAAGTCTTCAGCACTCCAGCCTTTAAGTGAAAGATACATCTTGATGCATTCCAGCTCAGCTGCAAGTTAGGGACTAGGTACAGGGGGGGAAAAAAAAGGTGAAGTTGAACAGTCCACATTATGCAAGAGGTCATATCAGATAAATGCGTTTTCTTTTGGCCTTCAATCCTACAAAAACAGAGTATGGAGACTGCAGTGCTTTTTTGTGCACTAAAGATGTCTATTTTCAGGACATCCCATGGTAGCTACTGGTAAATTACATGAGCTTTCTGTGCAGAGCTGGCCAAGCAGAAGAGAGATCCTAATGTGAGCTGCACTGACCACACCATGGCCAAGGCTGTAAGATCTGTCAAAAAAACGCCTTTTACAGTACAGCCAAAGCTCATGCTACTGTCCTTTCACAGCACTGTGATCAACTAATAGAGGTTTTATGGTGATAGCCTTGGCACAAGAGTAAAAAGCAAACAAACAAACCCGAAACAAAATAAAAACCCACAAAGCAACAAAAAGCAACGATCTTCAGTTGTGCTCACCTCACTTATGACAAGGCAAGCACCCTTTGACAAAACACAGGAGACACTTACAGGAAAAGGTGTGAAACACTTCTGTCTTTACTGGCACCACTTGAATCAGGAACAGGCACCAACAAGCAATGGCCTTGAGGAATTTACTTGTTGTGTTCCCTTGCCAGCCTCTCCCAGCAGGTGTTGCCATGCGGGGATTTGTACTAGAAAAACCCCAGATGCACACAGTAGGACGAGAGGGAGGGAGGGGAAGGGACACACGTGTGTGTGGGGGAAGCTTTAAATGAAATTAAAATCTGATGATCAATGAAAACAGAAGGTTTGATGGAAAGCCAAAGAACATTTTCTTTCTAGTTTACTCACGGTGAAATTCCATTTCCTGTATAACTCCTTATTGCATATCTCCTTGTCATGCTATTGTGCAACTCATCACACCTTTATAAAGTATCATTTATTATTTATTATTATTATCAATACAGATTGGATTGGAATCCAAAGATCTGGCTAAATTGAGGTAGATTATTTTATGTCTGAACATACCAGTGAAATTTCATTCATTGGTTCATCATTACCATCACAATAGGAAAGGGAAAAGCAAGTAGATCCTTTGCCTGGGCTAGTAATTTTTCACAGGAGTTTTGCAAGGCTACATGAAATCAGCTTTCCCAGCCTCTTCTCAATTCACAAGACTAACACCCCAGGCTACCTCAGCCAATGTTGATTATTTTCCATTGAGTCATGCTCATACTGATTCATTATGGAGATGCAACAGTTCCAAACTCCAGCCTTTCTCAAGAACTGCAGAGCTACACACATACTGCAGAGAAATCTGAGGAGTGGCACACACCAAGACAGAGGCTGACTGCTTGCCACTCTTCCCTCCCCTTCTCTCCCCATAAAGGAGAGAGTAAGAGGTAACACCAGAATTAAAATGCATTAACCCTGCTCCTCACGAGACAATCTCTAGTGCAATAGTTCAAAGAAGTAAAGCAATACCAAGACTAAGACTTTCATTAAATTAAAAAAATACTAAAAAGACACAGTGTATCTTTTCCCCACTTCCACGGAAAAAGAATTTGCTGCAACAACCATAATCAAAGACAGTTCTTCTCTAATGCTAGAATGATTAATCACCACTTCATACTGTGCTAGCACAGAATGTTTCTTTGATCAAAAGCCTCGACTTTTTTCCTGGGAAAAAAGCCCCCCAAAACGTTCAGCTAACACCTGAACATAATGCTGTTCCTATTAAAATGAGAAGTTTTCCATTGACTTTACAGGAATTAAGCCCTTAACAACATAGTATCCTAGAGATATTTAGTAAGGAGCAATGTGAACAGAAAAAGAAGGAAAACTTGGTAAATAGCATCTTAGAGTGAAGTAGAATAACTGACCAGACTCGTGCTTTGCAGTATGCCAGAAGTGGAGTACCTGAGCAGCTCAGACCTTGCTTTATGCTAAAGCTGCACCTTAAAGAAGACCTCCATTAGTCTGCACAAGGGCAGTGAGATGGTAAGTGCAGGAAAGCTTACTGCTCAACTGCTGGCAGATAAATACGGTGCCAAAATAACTCCACAAATCTGCAGACAACTTCCTTTTCAAAATCAGTTACATTTTGAAAGTTGGGATGGAAATGCAGTCACTCATGAGTAATTTCACAGAAATTTATGTTGATATGCAGTAAGGTCCTATACACATACATATGGCACTTTGCATTCAGTTTGCAAAATTAATGATTGATGTACTTACTTTGACCTGAGGGTATGATTTTTTGTTCTTTTCACTAGAAGCACCAGGAAGTCCACCATGCGAAGGCCCTTCGCATACGTATCGGAAACGAAACCCCCTCTGTGGAAATAAAGGAAAAGAAACTTGAAAGCTGTTCAGAAACAAAACTAAAAAAAAAAATAAAAAAATTTAAAAAATAGCACATGCATGTGTGAGTGCACACACAGACACACAAAAAAAGACTTGCCCAATCAGCCTACCAACAGAACAGTTACAACTGTTCATCCCTGAAATTCTGTCTGAGTGCTGGCTGACAAAGTGCCACTGAACTGTAGCCCTGGAGAAACTGTTCTATTCTCACTCTTACACACAGCAGCAATCCGAAATTTTTCTTTCAGTAAGTGAAGATATTTTGTAGCAGAGATCTATTTATACTCTCCAAACAAGATAAAAATTAAAAGATAGAGAATGCAAGAGCAGATAACTCTTTCTCCCATGGTTGCTGCTAGGTAAAGAGAATTGAAGCCAATAATAATCAAGGAAGTCCAAAGCATCATAAAGAAAAGAACAGGGATGAAACAGAAATGCTGCTGCTTCCTTCTGGGAAGAGCATGTGAGAACTGCATCTCCAAGTGGAGTCCAGAAACAGCACAAAAGCTTCAGGGGACTTTGAATGGCTGGCTTTTCATCTCAGCTACATAGATGTCTGAATATACTTCAGGGAACTGCAGGATATTAGCAACTACTCTAGAGTACAGCTGTCCGTTTATTCCATTTTTATATGTAGGAAATAACATCCCCTTTACTTTACAGGGTAATCTATAAGGCACAAAAGATGCAACTCTTAAGCGAATGTATTTGGTAACTCTAATGTTACTTGACTTATAGGGCTCCCAGTGCCTGTCCAAACAGCACCAGTTAGTGTTGTATCCTTCATCAAGAGTCATTCAGCTTCTAATAATAGACAAGTCTGAATTCAAAGTCTGTATTAGCTGACAGTAAACAACACAATTGAAAAATTACTCTGTAATCATTACCTTCAATACCTATCTCACTAAAGCCTTTTCAGTTTAAAAACTTGTTTCCCAGGCAAATGGAAAGATCTGACTTTTATTCAGATACTGACCAGACAATCTAATTCACCCTTAAGCACGTCTTTGTGTTCCTATGGTGAAGTGAATGACCAAGTGTATTGCAAGTGAAGTGCCCGGCTATGACGAGCTTGAACTCAAGTTGTCCAAAAGGCAAAGCAACCTCTGCAGTCACAACGCATGAGATGACCCAGTCTCTGTTCATCTCTATGCCTTCAGTCCAACAGATCCAGCAGTAATCTGTGTGGCCCTCCCCTGTCTATTGCCCTTGCTATCCTAGCTATGTGTTCACACATATGGTCTTACTCCCCCCAGCTGTCTCTCTGGTCCAAATATGACCACAAGCACAGCACTGCTGATGGATCACCCTCATCGCCCTGTTATAAACCACTGCCCAGCTTGCCACATGGGTACTCCACTACAGGAGCTGCTTGCTGAGAAGTCATGCATGGAAACAATGGTTTCTCCTTAGGCACTGCACACTGTAGGCTCTGCCACAGGAAGACATGGCATGGCCTGATTTGGGATGAACTACAACAACAAGGAAGAGGCAGCATATTCTTCCAAGAGTTCACAGTACACTCCTGTTTCAACTGTGACCATGAAATATTCCTGTTCCTGGAGGGATGCCCAAGCACAGAAATTTCTTCGGTGTGTGGCTGGAACAAATGTTCTCTACCACCTCCTACAAGGAAGACTGGATCATGGCATGCTTCTGCAGAAGACCAAGCAGAGGATGGGACAGCTTTTAGTCACCCTGTCTACTTAACAGCTCCATAAGGTAGGATCTTATGCAGCTGACTGGGAGAGGCAGGAAAGGGGTCTCCATACTGTAATAGCGTAAGGAGCAATAGTTGTAATTGCTGATGCCACCAGCTAAAGGGGAACAATAAATACCCTGGCATACCTCAGAGTGGCCTTCACCCAGCAATTACTTTGTACATCAGTTGCATGAAATCTAAACCATGCATTGGAATGACTTTCATACTGTCAGAGGAGCATAAGTGAGTGTTTGCTACACAGTCACAAAGAAAGCTGCATTCAATCATTTATCTTAATTTTTCTTGGGTTATTCAAAACAGCCAACTGTGATGGGAGGAATCTCAAATGACAACAGAATTTCTTTATGATGACAAAGCACAAGTCAAAAGTTCCTGTAACTTGAGAACAGAATGAAATGTTTTTGGTTTTTTTCATGTGTTTCAAGAAACATGAAACAAATTCTAAAAATCTTCCATGTTTGGTCTAATCATTCATATTTCAAAATACATGGGGTACTGTAAGAGTCACTTTTCAGATGAAGAGCCTATACTTAGCAAGACTTTTTTTTAAAACCCTCAGGGTTTTTTTGTCTTATGACACTTCCAGAGAGACATAAAGATGAAAACAGAACAAAACAGGAAACGATTTAAACTACAAAAGTGAGAGGGAAAAACTGCTCGTGATTAAGTGCCGTATTTATTATGAGAATTCAACCTCTTCAACATTCTTTTTTTCTCATCTTAAGTTGTAATTTTATTCAAAGCTGAATATAGTGACATAGCTACCTTGAAGATTTTTAAAATGTAGTGGTGTTCTTACCTGTTTTGGCTGTTCTATGATTTGAAGATATGGTCCATCTGCTAACATAAAAGAAAGAAAAGTCTTAGTAGAAATTGTATTTCTATTACTATGACATATAAATCACAGGGGTAAAAGTGATATTCTTGAATGTCTTGAGATAAAATTTTTGAAAGCACTTCAGCATCTTCAGAACTTGAATTTTAATAATTTAATCACTTGGCAGTCTGTCATTTACATTCTGTAAGACCAGTTGGAGTAAGAAAGGAAGGATTAACTCAAGAAAGTTAATTTTAGGTCAGAGGGCCTAAATGGGCAACTCTGATCACTCAGTTAAGACTCCCAAGGGTGAGTAAGAACAGGATCCTCCCCTTGCCACTGATAAGCAGCCTGGTCTTCCTGAGCTAAGGTTAACTTTTGTGTTTAAACCCTTTGGGCTCCAAATACTATACTCACAAGCTTTTAGCCCTAGGGCTTCCTACTGAATAGGTGCTTTTGAAAGTCTAGAGACAGCCAATGGGAAGCTCTGAGGTATGGGAATATAGGAGGAATTTAAGCTGTCTCAACATGCCCTAACACAGTCAGAACTGCTTTAAAAAAAAAAAAAAGGAATTGAGGAGACTAAACAATTTACATTCTTTTAATAATTTCATATACACTTTTAAATACACTGTTCTGCTGTGCCTCTTCGAGAATGATGCCAATACATAGGATTATGTTCTACTAAAATTCTATTTGCGTCTTTCAAAGAAGGCTTCCTTAAACAACTTTCAGTCTTGCACCACTCCCCGAACAATGGCTAACTTCATACCATAAACCTAATTCAAAATTCACCCACTTAAATAGCCTTTGAGCAGGCCCTAAATCCAATGAGAATTCAGTGCCATGAGAGTTAAGAATTCATTGCCCCATCAAAGCTAAGCTCCAACTCTGATTTTTTTAGATTATTTATGTCGAGAAGGAAAGCTCTCTCAGTGGATGGCTGTGAAATACCTCTTAAAATGCAAGCCACTCCCGAGTCTGAAAACAACAGTTCCAAGAGGTATGATTTCTTCCCTGCCGCTTGCTAAGCAGAGAAGAAGATTCGGATTTCAATGCTAAAAATTCAACTGTAGTAAAAGCAGATCCCAAATGACAGCTTCACTGTGAATACCTACACAATATTTTGCCAACTATAGAATCATAGAATGTTTTGGGTTGGAAGGGACCCCTAGGGATCATCTAGTCCAACCCCCCTGCAGTGAGATATGTTTCTGCCAGAATTATGTATCATCACTTATACTCTATTAAAGATGTTAATGCTAAGGAATCAAGCAAGCTTACTGGGACATGTGACACCTCTAAAGCAGACAAGCCACAGCTACGTGGCAGAACCTGCAAGCATATAAAACATACGGTACCCTGCCAACATCCAGGTGTGATCTGCCACCAAACAACTGCACCATCTGCAAGTACCATGCCATCCAGCTACCTCAACTAGGTAGTACTTGGCTTCAGCACAGAACTACATACTTGCATCAACTTTAATTTGCCAATAGGCCTAATGTTCACTGATAATTAAAAATGGCAAAGGATTCATTAATTTGTAATTCGTAGTATGACTACACGCATCCTTCTCAGCTCCTCAATACAACTTCACTTTAACAAAACAGATCTTCATGGCTTTAGTCGCATGGGTCTTAATTGAACAGGCTTCTCCCAAAATGAAAGTTTTGAGAAATATGCTAACAGATGGAATTAGTATTTTGCTGTTGACGTGAGCTAACTCAGCAACTGCTGAGCTTCATGCCAAAGTTATATTGCAAATGTCAGTCACAAAAATTTCACATATAAAGATAATTTATTTCCCAAGTCCAATATTCTTCCTGTGAAAAACACAGTGCTACAGTTGAAATCTTGAAGTCATGCAAAACAGCTGCCTCAAGACCATATACACACCATCTTACATTAGAAAGTATGAAAAACAGTTTGGACTTCAGAAAATTTAAAAGACGTAGAGTTATACTTAGTTTTGGTGGCTTTATGTTTTAGTTTTTGTCTGTAACATGGAGTCAAGATGAGGAGAGTTGGGTTTAAGCATTATATCAGCACTTAAATTTAAGACCTCTGTTCACAGACCTCTAACCCTCCTCATGCTTTAGGCATCAAGAATTTTATACTTTAACAATCCAGAGGCCTTGTATCTTCTGGGCACTGGCAGAAATAATGCACCTAAAATACAACTATGCAGTTCAACTTTCAACCAAGCCTCCAGGGCAGGATCTGCCAAGTAATTGTTCTTTGGCTGTTCTCCCCTTAGGAATTCATTTTCAAGGCATATACACTGGGATAGTATCAGCACAAAATACTACTGCTCTCTCTTAACAACAGCCAGAAAAGGAAGCGCTCTTTTATCGAACAGCTAAGTGGCTGCAGCAGTCCCCCAGGATGCAGCAGACCCAGGTTCCAATTTTTCCTCAGCATACCGGAATTCAAACTCCTAAGAGAGGGATATATACTATATTGGCATACTGGAAAGCTCAAGGGGAATTCTTCGTACTGCTGAAATAGTTTCACCTTCCATGGCTCTTGTGAAAACTCAGGAAAACGGAAAACTTAGGACTGTGATTCGTATGCCCCCTTGGAAAGATGCTTATAAAAAGCATACAAATATACTGATACAAAAAATCAAAATATCTTACATACTGATACTAGGAAAGTGCAAAAAAGGTGCAGCGTAAACATACAAAGGCAAATTAGATGCCTGTTTTCATTAATCCAGATTATACGAATCATATACCAATGTATTTAAAACAGTTTTGTGAGGTCTTATTTTAATCTTTGGGGTTTGTAACTAATCATTTTCTTTTTTACAATGGCTAAATAATTTGCTGGTATGGCATCTGAACCAGATCCAAGTAACAGTACAGAGAAGGCCCTCTAATGAAAGGCACTTAATTACATCTGCAATGCTATTTAAAAATAAAACAGCAATATTCAAAGTAACTTCCAAGCATAAATGGCATGTTATTTTGACTATAAAAAGGATTTTACTTAGTGAACGGTCTCATACAGCTGTCTTCACTAAACTGAATACTTTCCAGAAGTACCTTAGAGAGACAGCCTAACATTGGCTATGTATGGTTTCTTCTTTCTCCCTCTCATCCTTTCCCATGGGGAAAAGATGTTTAGTGTTTTGCACAGGAAGTTTTTAATATTTCATTTCTATTAGTAGGCATGTCTGGTCTAAGCAGACAGCAGGAACCTGAAGATGCACACCTTGTAAGAGGAACTAATAATGACAAGGTTTGTGGTGATCTTTTTGCACCTCCGTTCTAGGCTGCTTCAAGTTCTTGTTTAATGAGCAACCCCCTTTTAAGTGTTAAACAACCACAAGAAGGAACGCTACTTAATGCATAGCTTAAGTTCTACTTTTGCCCTACAGAGAGGCTGAAGCAGCACACAGTCATGGAGCTGGCCTCTATGCAGGGATGACTCTCATGGTTGCCAAGAGCCAAGTTTTGACATGAGCACTCCTCGCGATTTGCCTGGCACTGCTGCAGTCAGGAGGGCTAAGAACTGCAACTAAAACACGCAGTCCTCCAGCCTGGAGGGGGTTTGGTGCAGACTGCCACATCCTGGGTATGCCTCGGTGCTTCCTTTTCTGTCTTCTCGCCTCAGTTGCCACAGACCAACTCGCATCCCACTGCCTCTCCTCCAGCCTGAGTCACAGTCCCACTTCCCCACATCTTCTTCAACTGCTACATTTCTTCATTTTCCTTCCTGCCTGAGTCAGAGGCCCTCCTGCATCTTGACACTCCCACCACTTACATTCTTTCTTCCTCTTGACAGGCCTCACCCTGCACACACACTTCCCAAAGAAGCATCCATCTTAGGCTCCCGCTGGGTTCCTTCTTCCCATCACAGCAAAGTCAAGAAAAAAAAAGGTCTGTGAGATTGGTGGGATATCCCAGGCAAGCCTGGCAGCACCACAGGACTAGTCGGGTCCTTTATCTAACATCTTACCTAGTAGCTGAAGCCATTCAATTTAACCTGCAACCAGCTGTGGTCAAGTCCCCCCGTCACCTCCTCTCTGTTAGTGGGTGCCCCAGAACAGGCATCTCACCTTTGTAATTGTGTGCTGTTTTGCTCTGTGGACATGGATGAAAACACTCATAGACTCTAGGTTTTGACTGTTAAATCCAACACCAACCCTACTGTGTCCACCCTGGCAGTGGTACCTTGCCGCGAAAAGCTCAGACTCTAGATCTAGCATCTTACTCTTCCCTGAAGGTCTATCATAGCATTTATATGTCTTCCCCCTCAGGGATTCACCTGCATGGGAACTCTCTCTAGCATCTCCAACTCTGCAGTGTTCAAAACATGACGTTTATAGCAAGCAGGACACAGGCTTTGCTTAACCTCTCTCTTCCCTCCGTTCACTCTTCAAAATACAAGCACAGAAGATCTAGAAAAAACACCAGCAGCAGTATGCAAGTCTGCTTGCACTTCTGAGGATTAGGGCCACTGCTATGGGACAGGGAAAATGAACACTCATCTAATTCTTGGTGACAGTCAGGCTTCCTTGAATCTCTTCCTAACACTCTCTCTCTCTCAAAAAAAATTATAAAATAAAGTTTTTTGTAAGTGCCTTCTTTTTCCCTCTACACCATCCTCATTTCTCAAAAGCAAGCATCACAGAGAGTTTGGGCAGTGGAGGTTAAAAAAACATCATAAAACTGTAACTTTAACAGCCTCCAGGCCATACTGTTCAGCTGCTAATGGCCCTGCTTCAAATTCACAGGTTTAGTCTGACTGCAATAAAATAACCCAACAGCACTTCAATGCCAGCAGCTAGTTAGACCAGTGCCCCTAAAAACCAAAACCATTAACTAGTTCCCCAAACCATCTATAACTGGCACACAGATTACTACTATGTTATGTGGTTGTAGATGGCCTTTGTATATTCAGGAGGAAGTAGGAAACACCCAGAATTATAAAATGCTTTGCTCAGAGCTCTGCCTGTTTCCTCTCCAATTTAAAGCATTGCTTTGTCTGTCTGCTACACAGTGGACATCACACTGATGCGTATCTGCTTTTACACCGCCTAAATACGTGCCATGGATAATGTTCCCTCCATCCCTGATGCCACTGAGGATTAGTATCTAACTCTCAAAGGCAGGATTCTTCCCAACGAGCCAAAGAACAAGCTGACGCTGTGATATACTGCCCTTGCTGCTGGAGGTGTTTTAAACCCACAGCTCAGTCCTGCAGTTTGCACTGTTATGGTACTTGTTATAGCTACATCTTTTTGTCACTAAAGGCACACAGAGACTACTCTTTCTAGATTTAGATGTAAATGCAGAATTTGAACCACGTATCTATCTACTACAGCTTTACAGCCAAAATAACCAAGCCTAATTTTTACTTAAAACTGACATATGTGAGAGCGAAAAAGAAGCAAGCGAAGACACTCAAGCATAGTCAACCTCATCAAGAAAATCCTTGCCCTGACATTTCAAAGTTTTTCTACTATAACTGTAAATATTAACATAACTGCAGAACATCTATCTTCAGAAAGTCCCCAAATTCCCCAGCTATTTGTTGATTCAGCTACGCTGGCATGATATGGCAATCCACAGTTACATATTGAACCTGCCTGCCAATGTAATAAGTCTGACGTTGTGCGTTTATGAATGCACAGACTGAAAGATGTAGGCACCGCACCAAATCATGAGCAACAATTAATGTCTTTGGTTCTTTCTGTTTAAATCATCCAACTGTCCTAAGAAAAATCCTTTTTAGAACACTTAATTGACCCTCCCAATATCTCGGCAGGAAGAACTTTCGGAAAGTCCTGCATGAATTTTTAAGTGGCATTGCTGTGTAGAAAGAAATCATTAGTTCCTGCTTGAAACAACTAAAGCATAATATATAAATTATTACATTACCTTATAACTGAAGATCTAGTCCACAGTAACAACACACCAGTTTCAAGCAGGGGAGGAAGTAAGAATTACAGTGATACTACTCAAGAAAGAAAATCACTATGGCATCATCAGATGGCACTGAAATGATCAACTTTTCCTAAAGCTTACGATTAACTTTTTGCGTGCGATAACCTGAAATCCATGATCCTTTATTAAATCCCATTTTGTACACAGGGAACTTGCCGCATATAGTGCAGCCGTGGACAAGAGCAGCACCATTAGTTTTCTCTGACTCCAGAACTCAATGAATTCTTGACTCCCCCACATGGTTTTAAAACCAGATGTTTTCTAGTTTAGACAGGACATAGATATCTTAAAATCAGTTTTATATAACTGAATAATTTGTATGGAATGAGTCTGGCATGAGGAGCATAGAGCAAGCTTAAAAGGTACGTGTAAAAGAGATCGTTATGGGGAAATCAAAATTCCAATAACCTTATTTGTTCCTGTGAGAACAGTGAAAAAAACCCCTTGGTATACAATGCACAAGCCCTTTAATCCTACACAGATGAATCTTACTGAACAATTCTATCTGCCTTAATAAAAACAGACTGCAAACAAATGATTGCAACATTAATTTGTTGGATGCTTGTCCATATTTGTCAAGAGCTTTGCTCATCAGTACATTTCATCCTGAAACAAAATTATCTGTACCATATGTTTCTTGATCTTTCCTCACTACTGTTCAGTCAAGAAAACTTAAATATGGTTTAAACCAGGAAACACTGAAAAGTAAGCATGTCTTAACTTTTATTTTTAAATCAGCATTTACTGTTACTTACTACTTAGGGTAGAATTTTACTTATGAAATAAAAAGCTAATTGCTTATTTAATTTTACTCTTCATAGCTTCACCACTGTCAAATGTACCAAATATTGCGAACAAGTCATTTGCATTTTCAACAAAAGAAAGCAATCTGTGATACAGAAGACACCAGCTATATCCTTATACAACAGAGTCCAACAGATCAACAACAAAGTTGTCGTGTTAAAAGACATTAATAACTATATTGGAGATATATATGAAGAAAACCCTCATATGCTTAAATAAATTTTTTATTTCCTTCCTCCTTTCATATAATAAAGTAAGCAGGAGAAACAGAGTTTTCTAAATCAAGCAAGAAATAATACTTATAAAGAAATTTAATAAGTAAAACCAGACCAAGATTGTTCAAGCAGCTAATACTGGCTGAGATGTAACACACTTCTATTTGATATTCCTGTTCTGGAACCACACTGGAAGAACTGTACATCAGACCTTTGCAGAATACTATTTACTTATTTTCAGCAGTTGCTTGCAAAATTTGACTCTGAACTTTCAAACTAGTGTTATTATTCAGGAAATTGTCAGGTACTTTTAATACCAGACTGCCACTTTACAGGAAACAGAGAAGTCACCAAGAAGGAAAAACAGATTCTAGTGATACAGGAAGTTGAACATACTCTACGTTTTATTAGTGAAAAACAAGCACCCTAAGAATTATTCCAACAACTGAAACACTTTTCAAAAGAAAAAAGTACATGTTCCACTCTGCAAACTGGCAATACAAACATGCAGGTCACTGAAGATGCAAATTTAGAAAAAAGTACAAAATAACTTATAAAAATTAGGTCACTCAAACTCTTTGGTCACTCAAACCATTTAATTAATCGAAACTTCCAGTTTCTGTACAAGCCAAAAGAAAATCAGATTTGCCTCACTGTTGAAAGTTTCATGAAAGTAAGAAAGTAATTATAAGTCTAGTTGACAACTTCAGGATTGAGTATTATGAAATACAAGATTGTAAGCAAAAAAGCCTCTGAAAAGAACTTCACAGAAAACCAAACCGGAAGAAACAGCAGGACAATAGCACAATCAAATAGCAACAGTTCCTACCTGTTCGTAGTGGTAAGTCTGAAGTGATGTAATTTGTGTTATTAAATAATGGATTCATTCCCATTAACGGATCCATTGCAAACATCTATATGGGAAGAAAATACAATCTTCATCACTACATATATACAGAATTTCATAAAGCATCTATCATCAAAGAATTTCAAAGTTCTCTGCAAATATTGAGACTGCAAACATCCCAGTGCAGTACATAAACATTTTGTATCTATTTTATTTTTGCTTGCAACAGCAGTGCAAGCAAAGCTGATAGTACTGACCAAGTTTCACCAATATCATGAGATCGCAATGAGCTCAGCACAGTTTCTAAGCATGCTTTTTGCTTACATGCACTAGCAGCTATAATTCAAAAGAGCTTATACGGTACATTCTGAAAATCTGACCCTAGAAGTCTTGCCCAAGGCCTTACTGAGAACCAGTGAGTTTTCATTTCCACTTCTGTGATTAAACCCCACCAGACTACATTCCTTATGTAAATATATTTACAAGCTCTAAAGCAAGAAAACAGTATGCCCAGGCTGAAGTTTAATTTTTTTTTTTTTTTTTGAATGCTGACATGTCTTAACTCACTGTAATTGCTGTCAGGTACAAATCTATCTTCTTCCAAAGTGGAACAAGCATAAAGGAGAAAATAGCTTCTTTTTGGAAATTAAGGTGAATAGAAATCATCTGTTCTTCACTCAAACTTTTCACTCAGGCACCATTCTCACAATTCAAATGAATCATGAAATGACCTAACGAGATCAGGAAGAGCTTCTGAAGAGCTAGGCCTACTGATCTGTGTAAGTAAAGGAACACTTTAGTCATCAGTGCCAATGCAAATTTCATAAAAAATGATACAAAGGGGCCTTTTAGGGCATAAGGGGCTTTATTTTCAGATAAAGTCCAATGTCCATCACAGAAGACATTTCAGAGCAAGTGTCACGGGCAGACAGGGCATAAAAATGAGTGTTTTTTCAATTCCTTCTTTCAGTAGACCTAGCTTTCCTTTTCATTCCAGCCATTTCACTAGCGGCAAGGCACTTCACGGGTCACATAAAAAACACCTTAGATTAAAAAAAGCCCAGATTTCCCCAAACCTGGCAGGCCAATAGCTAGAATACTTTTATATCTCCATGTTGTTAGGCCTAGGAAATGACAGGACAATGTGAGAGGAAGCCAAAACAGAGAGCTAGGAGAGAATACAGGGATATCGAAAATGCACAACTCCACTTACTTGGGGATCAGACACTCCTATAATATAGGAATCTTCTGCCATTTTAAGTCCTGAAACACAAAAACATGATCAGAACTCTCATTTTTTTCAACCTACAGACAGCAATAGAGAAACCTGAAAAATGTTAGTTAAAAGCCCTATCTCTGACCCTTCTTCTTATATTCATAATGTTAATGATTTCCAAAATACTCTTAAAATTCCCCAGTATTTGCAAGGAGCAGGCTAAGGACAGGATAGGCTAAAGCTAGGCTTTTCCATTGCCTGCTCCCAAGCAACTGAAAATTGCAGTCTAAGTCCTGAAGTCAAAATTTATTAAAATCAGGAATTAATTTGTTTCTGTCTTTGCTCTGACTATTCTGCCATTAGAATTTAGGCAAAATCATTATCGTAGTTTAGCAAAAGCAGGACTCTGCATTTTTACACAATAAAAAGTCTTCTGAGCGTTCATGAATGAACCCCAACGGTTTTCTTGTAAAGCATTACTAAATGCAAGATAAAGATCCCCGAGAAAGAACATGCAGTATTTTTTCTTTAAATAAAAACTGGAGTCAAACATTGACTAATGTTGGACACCTTTATTTCCAGAGGTCCACAAGTGCTTGGCAGCCACAACAACTCAGTGCTGACAATGACAATTATGGATGTACAACATACCTAGCCCTCTGTCACGGGTCTACATGGAAATGCCAGACACTGGGAAAGTCTAGCATGGCTTAGTTTTCCCAGGGCCAGCAGCTAGCCAGTAACAGAGCCTGGAATTTTTCTTAGGAATTTACCAGGTCTATTATAAAATACTAGTGTTACTTCTTTTCATGTAGACGTTATTGAAAGAATTTAAATTTTACTTATGTTGATCTCACTAAAAAAGGCTCTCCAAGGGAACACCCGAAAATAACTGTAGTGACTATTTCAAGAGACTCATGACTGCATGCAAACAGACACTTTAAATAAAGTTAATAACTAACAGAAGATAGAAACATGACACTGGCTCGCACATTCTACCACAATGAACATGAGACATGATTTCCAGCAAAGCAAAGTGAACTGTGAAAACCTACCGCCCTATGACGGAGAGTGGCAAGTGATCAGGATCAGTAAACCAGTAAAGAAAAACTGAGTCACCATGTACCTTCTACAGGAACTAGAAAGGCAAATATTAAAAAGAAAATTGGAACACTCGGGTACTTGACTTTGATGGAGGCTCAATTCAACTTGTTAACAAGCTCCAAAGACAACATATAGCTACCTGTCCCACACAAGTAGAAAATGAAAGAAAATTTAAAATGGAGAAATAGAGACACTTAATACCTAGATGACTTCCAAGAAAAAGAGGTCCATGAGGATAAAATTATTTTTTTAACCAAGAAAATAAAAGTACTCAACTGTCTCTAATTCGATTTTAGAGAGAAATATTTACTGGGTAATATTTATTTGTAATATTTGAGCAAATATCAAATAACTGGTCATAAGATTTCAGCCAAACATGAATAACAGACATAACAAGCAGCCACAGTCATCCATGCTGTATGCTGTACTTCATCACCTAATACATTGGGATTTCAGCAATATAAAAAAATAACGGTCAATCACATTATCTCACAGGCACATTCTGCAAAGCATTATTTTCATCAATAATTTGCTACTAATCTTTATGGAAAAAAGTCAACATACAACGCATAACAAAACCTTCAGCACTCAACAAACTTTACTAAGATGTTTTTATTTGACAATTCCATTCCACAGAAAGAATATAACCCTCATCACCAATTGACAAGTTACTGAAATCACTGAAACAACTGTAATTTAGTTTTTGGCAAATACTTCCCAGTTAAAGATGTAGATATTTCAGAAAATGACCTGAAGACCTCAACAGCCAACATTTTTAGGAAGTGTCAGAAAATACCCACCCTGCTGATGCACACTGATTAGGTAACTGAGTGCAAATGCCAGATTTTTTCTGCATAAACACAATAAAAACTGGTCCTAAAAGTTGTTTTGTGATCTCTCATATTTAATCACTTACTATTTCATGAGTCACATATGCAAAACTGTGTTCCAAAATACCTAAAGTACCCAGATAACATGGTAAATATGCTTGCTCAGAAAAAAGATTCTGAGGAGCTAATATGAATAGCATTTGCCCACTTGCCTGTTTGCTAAATGTATACTTCTTTGCAAAACTTTCAGAGCATCTCACAGCTTTGTCTGTAAGCCCAGTAGGATAAATTTAACAGCATGTTCCATTGTCTTTACCCTATTCTAGTTTCTCAGACTGCATCACTCACTCCAGCAGAACTCTGTGGAAGAAGGGCAGTTCTCACACCTGCTACGCTTCCTGGTCACATTTACAGTTTTACAATACATGACTTCAACTAAGTGGAAAAATATCACAGAGGCAGTATTTCTGAAAACTTTTCATTTAAAGTACTTTGATATAAAAATTAGAATCCACACAGAAATAACCCCTATAACTATCTGAATCGGTCCTTAAATTTCACCTCATCAAATTGGCCATTTCTGGCTTTTTGGCTGATGCAATGAACAATGTCATGACACCAAAGCAGCAGTCATTAAAGATGAACATTATGCTCAGAAGCGGGAAGGTAACTACCCACATACTACCCAGTTGCTGTAGGTATGTACTAATGAATTTCTAACCAGGTATTAAACACAATGTCTCTCGCACCAAAAGCGCAGGTGCCCCTTACTTGAGATCTTTTGTGTTCAAGAGTCAGCTGCAGTGTTTTGGGAGAGAGGTTAAAGACATTCTCCCTGGCTTGAATGCTAAACCAGTTTATTATAAACACACAATGATTTAGATGTGCAAACATATGCCTTTGTGTATGTAAACTGACACTTGATTGCCTTTTCAGGGCCTAGACAAAAATTAACCCAGCAGTTTAAAATTACTCCTCTAAATGACTGAAAACACTCTCAGTTTCACTATGTTTTGCCCTCTTTCAAAGCCAAACAAATGACAATGTTCCAGGAGCCCTAGTTCCAAATAGAATTTGTTTGCTTAGGATTTATTTAGTTAACAAGTCCCTAAGCATCCTCTTCTTACAAGAAAACTGGGGCAAATCCAGGGAGTCAATAACGTGATTAAAAAGCAAAAAGGCACTTACAGAAAAACAGACCCTAGCATTAATTGTATGACTTTTAATTGGCCTCTTCCCTTACTGCTTGAGTTTCTAAGTACCTTTCCTACATGCATTAAGTGGTAAGATTAGCATCTGCCACGAGTAGCTTTGTTCACTCTCTCTTTACATGAGCTGTATTTTGGGGCAGAGATTGGTTTTATCCAAGCTGTATCTGCTGCTATATGCGTCTTAGAGAAGTTAGGTCAAAACCACCTCTCTCTCATTTGAAGATGACTGGGATTAAAATTGCTTTGTGGAAGTTTGTGTTACCATATATGCCTGCTTCCCACATAATCTCTGGTTCCCACAAACTGTACTGCAAACTTGCACCTACAATAAAAAAATACCCCTACACCTGCAGACCACAATCAACCACGACAGTCTCCACCCTGGAGATCGTCTGAAGTCTTTCAGCTAATGGGGCACAGGAAACTAAACATTTCAACACACAGTATTTTTTAGTGTGAGAATTCAAATGTGGGTGAAGGAATGTCATGTAACTAGTCCAAAACCACACAGCTGTACCTACTGAGGGGTGGTAAGTGTGTATGCATGTACATAGGCACATGTGTGGATTATTCCTTTCTCCCCACAGCAGGCCAGTTGCCCTTGTGAAAAAGGTTAAAAAAAGGAGAAAAAGAAAAAGCCTAGGAAGATATATATGCGTACTCATACATGGAAGATGATGGGGTTGCACCAACCAACGAAACATAACGGCAGTTACTTTGCATCGCTGCTCCTCCTTAATAACCCAGTAATACCAGGTACAAGTAGGCACAGTTGGAAGAACACGAGTTCAGTTATTGTATTCTCAGTATTTGTTTTAAAGCTTCAAAAGGATCAGGCATTTAAAATGGAAACAACATAATTAATGTAGGAATGCTCTCATCCAGGAACAAGAGCTCTCATTTCTGTTTACCTCGATCATTTGATTTCAAATCTCTCTCCTGCTGTTCTCCAACATCCACTGTATCTAACTACCTCTTAAAAACAAAGACGGGTTTCTCTAACCAACTTTTGTCAGCCCCCTGATTTTTTTGAGTTCAGTTCCTTGCCCTGCTGTTCCTCTTCAACTTTCTGGCCTGAGTTTTAAAAAATGAGGTAAACCATTTTCCTCTTTGATACCAGTATCCAACCCGATACCTACAAATAGGGAATGAAACTTCTTCCTATCACCTTTCTAGAGACAAGCATAACTCAATGCAAATTTCATTACCTGTGAGGAAACAAGCTTTAATGTTTGATTCAGATACTAATAGTCCAGTTATTTCTGAAAACTTTTACAGACATCTTACTCAGCAGCTGCATGCCTTTTAAGAAACGAAGACTTTAAACGTCATTCTTTTTCTTTCTAGCTTTGCTCTCATTATGGCCTGGCTAAAAACCTGAACAGTATATACACTAACAGATTAGGAAGACTTCTTATTCCTCTGAGCAGGAAACAAAATTATTTGAGTATTACCCTAGGTAGTTGAACAACCTCCTCCTCCCCCCAAAAAGAAATTTTAGTACCCCAAAACTATCTATTCATGTTTCAAAGCATACCAGCACACTTACTGATGAAGCTAACATTTCACATCAGATCAGAAAAAAAAAACAAACCACCAAACAGGACATATGCTTCCTTTCCTGGACCTTCAGAGAGACAGACATGGTAAGCAGGACTTTTAATCTATGTTCTTTGAATATAAATGTACTTTCAAAATCAGTTTGGAGAGATGAAGGACAAACAGTATCACCAACTTCTTTACACCACAAAGACCTGCCTCATCATAAAAGAGGGTAATGCCTGGTAGAAACTCTTATCAGCCACTAATTTCTTTCAAACTTTCTGTACTTTGAGCTAACCAAACAAAATAAAAGCATATAAACTGATGTGACAGGATGCCAATTATATCCTCAGAAAATGA